TTCTGAAGGTAAATTAAATATCTGACAGTGATCATCACGCAGTGTGGCTCTAATTCCTCACTTCACCATCTGTGTCGCAGTTTCACGTCTCCAAAATAAGCGTACGCATGGGTCAGAGCTGGCGTGAGGCACTGCACATTTGCACGTCAAGTTTGGATTTTATAAATCACAACCTTGGCGTAAAAAGTGGCGTACGCAAGTTTCTGGGCTCAAATTGTGCGTACGCCAGTTTTATAAATCCGACCCCAGGTCAGATCTTCACCGATGTGCGCAGGGTCCTAATATTTCTCACCATCTCCACCCTGTCCCTGTTTATAGTGATGAGCTGAATGTCCGGTTAAAACCTTCGGTTAAAACCTCCTAAAGTCATTAATCAGTTCCTTTGGCTTGGAGGTGTTCAAAATGAGGTTGTTGTTGGTGCACCTGACCCCCACCACCGTGGTATCATCACTTTATGATGGTATAGTTCAGGTGGGGTTCCAGTCATAGGTGTGAAGGGTGTAGAGTAGGGGGCTTAGTACACAGCCTTGTGGAGAGCTGGTGCTGAGGACAGGAGCCGGGACTCTGTGATCAGCAAACTGTAACAGTCCTGTATGAGTCTGTGTGCTGCCARCTGAAGCTTCAGCTCATCCATCTTATTTGCGAGGGATCTGACATTTGAGAGAAAAATTCTAGGCAGTTTGTGCGTCACTTTATTTTTGTAAAAAAAAATTGAATCACGTAAAATTTTCTTTCCACTTCATAATGTATACCACTTTTTGTTGGTCTTTCACATTAAATTCCAGTGAAATAATATTAATGTTTGTGATTGAAATGTGACAAAATATAGAAAAGTTTGAGATATGAATATAGCAAGACACTCTAAGTACTTTTAGTACTTAAGTATTTTTGAGAGTAATTTAATTTAAGTAATAATTTGACAGAGCTTCTTTGTTTTTATTGGAGTAATATTTGACCAGTATGATCAGTACTTAGATTCAAGTAAGAAAACTGAGTACTTTGCCTGCTATTGTACAGAGACCCAGTGCTCACCTGAGTTCCCCACTCTCTGGATCTAAATGACCATCCTTTTTTTTTCTTTTCTTTTCTTTTTTTTTTTTTTTGAGAAACAACCAGAGGTGTCAGGTAGTAAAGTACAAATACGCTGCTACCTTACTTAAGTGGACTTTACTGGAAGAATATACTGTGTTTTCTTCAAAGTCCCCCTAGCAGAGATGCCTCCCAATCCCTCACTACCCCCCACCTCTCCCAAAGATGCCTTCAACCTTTATCTGTTTATCAAAAATAATTAAAGAACAAAGTGAGTAAAAATCAACTTTTATTTGGAAAAAGGGGAAAAAAGAAGAACTGAGTTATGGAATTTTAATTCTTCAAATGGACTTGTTTTGGTGATCTTTACACACAAACAATAAATTCATAAATATCTCTTAGTCTGGCCCTTTGTCATAAAGAACAACATATGTTCCTTTATCATCAGCTGCGTTTGTTGGTTTACAACCATTGAGCTTTATCTCTTCCTCCATCAAATCAGACGTTACTCAGTGGAACGTGTCTTCAGTGCTGCTGGGTTGACTACAGCTTGTTGTCTGTGATTTAAACACATCTCTAATGTGGCTCTCAGTTAACCCTCATCCTGTTTAATGATCTGTTTTCCTTTAACCGTTCTCCCAGTCTCTCGTAGGGTTGGGTATTGAAAGGGTTTATTTCGATACCGGTGCTAAATCGATACTTTCAAAACGGTACCGGTTCCTAAACGGTATTTAAATCGGTACTTTAAAAATAAATAAATAAAACACACACACTCACACAGAGGTTTCTGAAGCAATGATTATTTCTGAGGCAAAGTCAAACTTGAAATTGACCAACATGACAACTAGAAAACATTTAAAAAATAAACAAATTCAAGTTTTATTTTGTCTAGTGCTAAATATTCTGTTTTCATTTGTATATTAATCAGATTAATATTTTTTTTACATAAAATAAAACGACTGTTTTAATATTCCAGCATTTTTGATGCAAAAACAGCATCTTGCTATATTTGTGAGGACTTCACACATACACACAGCGCTCATAGTCTGCCTCAGTCTGCACCTGTTTTTTTACACCAGGCAAAAAGTGYCTTTAAACCAGCTGAAGTTAAGTTTAGAGCACAGTTTGAAATGTACACCGAAGGAAACCTGCATCACAACTTTATACAGCRGTCAGAGCAAAYGTGATCTGCAGCGTCTGTCTGCTGCACRGTGGCAGCTCTAACGAAACAACGAGAAAGGACTGAGAGCTATTTTTTAAAATCCAGCAGGGAGAACAATACATGTGTTCTTCTATGCCTCCTGTGAGCAGTTCCAGCCTTTTTAAAAAGAAAAACAACTCGGACACGCTAATTACAGTGCGGTATTTATAATGACATGCATGTAAACACATTCAGGCTTTGGTTCCACAAGGAGCATTGGGTCCCCACAAGGCTGTTTTTCAGGAAAATCGTCCCCACAATGTATCAAAAACGTRTCCACACACACACATTCTCACACTATGCTCTCATACAATATTTACATATCTTTCCTCCTTCTGTGGAAGCACTTCGATTAACACATCTGTTTTTGCATAAAAGTTTATCATTTCCATTCATCACATTTTGTACTAAAGTTTTTAGTTGCTTCTGGACTGTAGCTTTTTGGCACCTCTGGCTCCCTGCTACCTGTCACAGATCTGTTTCTACATGCCATCATTACCACAAGTCCCAGTGACACAGTTACACTCATTATTTCAGAGCCAACCAGCTGCCGGTGTGGAACYTGCTCACTGCACATTACTGTGACACATACAGAGCAGAGAGGAGACGGTGCACGGAGGAGATCATTAGCAGCTGTCTGTATGACGACGAAGCTGTTTTTCTACCTGACTTGTGTGTGTTTGCATTTGTGTGTTGCAGAACTCAAGTGCAGACACCCGTGTGAGACTGGACCTGGGTTTGTGGGACAAGTTCAGTGAGCTGGCCACCAAGTGCATTATCAAGATAGTGGAGTTTGCCAAACGAGTGCCTGGCTTCACGAGGCTGACCATCGCTGATCAGATCACGCTCCTGAAAGCTGCTTGTCTGGACATCTTGGTGAGTCTTGATTGGTTTTATCTTAAAAGAGAGATTCTGAACATATCCCTTTGTATATGCCTGGTGTAATATTGACACATAGTAGTGCTGACTACTAGACTGTGTCATACATGTGGTTTAAGGCAGGCGTTCTTAAACTTTTTGACCTCGGGGCCCAATTTATCGAATATAAAGTGGCACGAGGCCAAGTCAGACATTACCAATGTATGGATCAAAATGATAATTATTCTAAATCTTGGTTTAATTTTTATTGTATTTACATTATAACTAAATTAAATACACTTACAATTAAGTGTATTTTAAGTACACTTAAAAGTAAAACTCCTGTCAAATAATCACAAGACATTGTTATGACCTGGCTCAAGAGCCATAACACGTGAAGACACGACACAGTGGAACCAGTTTAAAACCTTAAAAGGTATTTATTAAAGTTTTGTCTAGGATTAGGTGAGTTCGTTGGCCCGGTTTGGAGCTCCGTAGCTCCCGAATGCACCAGACATTTCTCACCAAGCTGGACCCTCTGAAGTCCGTGGTCCAGGTTTATGTTCCACCTGTTACGAGCAAGTCTGTGGTCTGATTCCCTCGACCACCGTCGTGTCCTCCGTGCACCTCTGCGTCTGCGTTTCAGTGTCCTCTCTCCAGCTCCGAAAACCCCGACTCGGCATCCACACACCAGCAGGATGTCTCTCCCGTGAGGCACGCCGTATGAGAGCAGCAGCAGACCRACAGGACAGGTGCAGCACACAAACCAACATAAGCCACAGAGCGATGAACCTCAGAGCCCTCGTCAGCCACACAGCGCTACTCAGCACTCCAGGTGCGCGCTTCAAAAAGGGCACAGGCCACTCCCCCTAAGGATGACCTGTAAGGAAGCACAATTAGGCAATAGGCGGCAGCTGGCTGCAATTAACTAAGCAGCAGGGCCGTCACAACATGATTATGACAAACATTTTTTTATATTGTAACTTGCCCATAACAATTATTTGAACAAACGGTCAGTCAACAGACCACTCAGGCTTATCAACACCAATATATATATATATTAACATAAACAATAACAAAAAATAAGAACCAGAAGCTGCTCTTCATATTAGTGACAAACAATAACAGTAACAACAGCTTTTTGATAAGTTTGAAGTTTCTTTAAAATACATTAAAATTATTAAAAAAGTATTTGATAAAGTGCAAATTAAAATATAGCTGTATCTGCAACTGTATTTGATGGTGTTTTTAACTTTTAAAATACTGCATGGTAGAACCAGAAGCTGCACTTCATATTAGTGACAAACTTTGGTTTTTTTGACGGGTTACCCTCATTTTTGCTTCTACTTTTCATTTAAAATAGGCTTCCACTTTCAGCAGGTTTCTAAGGTTCTTCAACATATTAAAAAAGTTGTTAAAGTGGCGCACTACTGCTACTAGTGGTGAAAAAGTGTATTGCATCTCATTCAAAATCAATGCGGTCCCGCGGCCCTCTGTGACCCAAAGTTAAAAACTGTTGTTCTTTTGAGGTCCTCAAGGTGGTGGTCATGGCCCACAATTGGGCAGCAGCCCATAGGTTAAGAATCTCTGGTTTAAGGTACAGATCACGTTATATTTATTTGGAACTGCCGAATAAGGTCTGACTCTTGTTCTGGGTCAGACTCTGGTTCTGGCTCAAACATGTAGGCCTCATCCATGTACAATTATTCCAGTTAATCATTTCTCATCAGAGTGTCCTGGTCTCTCAACATGTGATGTGGGCATCTAAAAGAAGTTAGATGGGTTAAAGTATCTACTATTAAGGACCAATAAGGGACCCTCTAAATTTGACAACCCTATAAGAGACACTGTATTTTATTCACAATTGTTTTGCCTTTTTAAAAGACAGTTCTGCTAGACAACCTTCAGCTTGACTGAGACCATAACATTTAAATATTTGCCTAAAACAGAAATAGTTTTGCTTGTTATCATTGCAGAACAATTTGTTTCACACATAAAACCACAAAGGTTGTCATAAACCTACATCACATTTCTGCTGATGCATTTTCATGTGGACGGTTAGCTTAAGTGATACGCTAACATTAGCTTGCTCCTCTCTTAAAAGGACTACTCATTCAGGTCGACACATTTTATTGCTTTTGCAACAATATCGTAACAAAACTTACAGCAGTGGGATCCAAAGTCAGTGCTTCATTAGTGGGCTTCCTCAGCATGCCATCAAGGTCTACAGAGGCCTACTAATTAAGCACCCCTTAGGTTCAGCTGTGTGGCACCAAGGCAGCTTCTAAAACATGCAGGACACTGGCCCTCGATGACTGATTGATTTTGGACACTACTGACTTACAGAATGGTTGTTCATAGTTGTTCAGAAATTCTTCCTCTATAAAAGTTATGTTTAGTGTTAAATGTCATATATTCTGGATGTCTACTCTGGTGCTGAGGACTTTCAGTAAGCTCCCCAACCCAAGTTACATCACACCAGTGAGAGGCTACAGGGGCATGCAGTGGCCAAGATAATATCGGTCATTGCAAACATCAAATGGTAAAACACTGAGGTTGTTGAGAAAAACTAGCATATTATTAAAGTACACAACAGAATGAGATTAACAGTGAGCTGTACATGTTTAATATCCACTTCAGTTATTCAGTCTAGTTTTTCCACTTAGCAGAATTCAGTGGAGTGTGTCCAAAAGACCATCCTACCACCTCCCTGTAGTTTGGCAGATCGTCAACACCTTTTAGTCCTTCCCCATCTATGAAAAAATATGTTGTTCTCATTAGACTGACCTGCTCAGCAGGCCAGTTAGACTCAGTCAATCCATGCAGTTCAGTTGCTTTTTGTTGCTGACATTTTTCAGCACCTAATCTGTTTTCAGTCTACCTTCTACGTGTGTGTTTGTTCTTGTTGACCAGTCACAGGCATTGTGTTTCTTAATGGTTCTGGCTTCTTTATGGAGCACAGATGCAGAATGTCTGCTGGTTGCTGCTGGTTCCATGTTAGTCATTTAGCACTTGTTAAGTGAAGCGATGTACAGTAGTAATGTAGCCACAATGATGAGATGGAAAAAGGCTAAATGGTTTCTGCCTCCACCATGCTTACTTAGTGTGGTGGTGTTACAGACAAAAGACAGATGGGGTGGAGGGATGGTTTCGTTAGAGTTCTTTACTTTTCTATTACACAGCAAAAAGAAAGTGAAAAAGGCACATATGTAATAGTATACAAACTGAAAATCCAACCCCAATTCTAACATGGGACATTGTGTTTGTTTTATAATGATGGGTCTTGTGCCTGTTAGATTAGGGGTTCTCAAACATTTTGGGTCTGGGGACCCCTTACAAGCGTGAAAATTTTCCAGGGACCCCCTTATAAACCCCATGCTGTTTTAAAAATAGTTTACTGCCATTTTACCTGCTAAACGCAATGGGAATATTCTCTTTTGTTTATGACCACTCATCCCTGACATACAGCCTGAGCATGAACTTACTGTGCAGCATCTTGAATTGTGTAACATTACGCACAACGTGTCTTACTGATCAGGTCATACGTGTCATAATGATCAGGTCGGATGTGACAGAGCAGAGGGAGCTTGAGCAGCAGCAGGACACAGAGGTGAAGGACTGAAGGTCCACTGAGGATTTTCTGGCTCCTTCTCAATCGTCATTGTCTTCTGTTCACCAGCGCAGTTGACAGCGAAGGACACAGATACTGTGGACAAGGTCTGAGTGAGGGAGTACCAGAGGACACATCAAACACTCGGTGTGTGTGTGTGTGTGTGTGTGTGTGTG